ACAGTAAAGAGGTCCACCCTGGCTCCCAGCAGGCGGTACTTCGCCACAGCATTGGGTCCGATGTCCTTATCCTTAGCCAGAACTGGCCCATTTAACACTGTTACAGTACTACCTAAAAGGACAAAGAAGAAGTAAAATGATCACAGTCAGGTTAGAATGTTTACACTACACCAGCAAGCCTGTTTCACTTGGTGATCGCACGTTTCTTTGATAATAGCCAAGAGATGGTAAAACGTTGAACAAATTAATTGTGATTATAAAGTTGTCAGTCCTTCTATCTGACCTCTAACTTTCAAAGATGTGTCTACAAGCATCACTGAATATAAGCCGTATGTCAACAAAGTCAGGAAGTGGGTGAGACAGTGTTACAGACAGTGTTTTGGTACAATGCCCTGTGCTGCAGATTTCCCCCACTCGAGGGAAAACAGAGAGATAAACACACCAGCGTGAGTGCTACCTGCTTCAGAGTTCTCTGTGATCTCTGCCCTGTAGCTGGTCCTGGTGAATATCGGCCTGTTGTCATTCTCATCCAGAATGGTGATCACGAAGATGTCTGAATCCTGGTGGTGTGGGACAGACGGGGGAGAAATAAACAATTACAAAGAGCAGAGGATTATGTGATAAAGACAAGAATAAGAGAGGAGGAGAGAAAAATATGTTAATCAGCCCTCAAAGAGGGAAATTGATAAAAAGCACTCCGATGTTTTAGTGTAGTCAGAATAGAAAGGTGTTGCAGTTGTTGTACTGTGCAACCACCAACAGGCTGCTGGTGGTTGCAGATGTTATTTTGCAGCTCCGGGTTAGAACAGTTTCTCACCTCCGCCACAGAGGCAACGTTTAAAGCAGGCCACATTGTTTTTTATAACAATGGACACCTTGCAACTGCAGATTGGGTGGTTCTCATGTTCTTAAGTTATTAGTGTGCAAGAGATTCTCTTTGGTCTAAGGTCTTTGAATCCAAATCCTTTCATTTCATTGCCATTTGCGGCTGCCACCGAGCACCTAAAAGTTCAGGATTGCCTGTTTTTATGAATTCCTCCAAAGCCGACTTTAAAAGACACAAGGTTTTGCGTCAGTGGCGGTGGTCTGTGGTGGTTTCAGTGGTCTCTTTGTGAAAATGCCAATGTGGGAACGTGTGTGAATGCTTGCAGTATGTGTGTGCAGAGGCGAGGTGGGATTACCCTGCGAGCGATGCGGGGGTTCTCGGGGTTGTCTTTGACGGTGATGGTCAGTGTGTACTCAGCCACTCGCTCTCTGTCCAGTGGTCTGTTCACCTGCACCACACCTGTCTGACAGACACAGAGAGGAAGAGGGTGTTCAGAGATTCACTCTTGATACAACAGTATGTTATATTACACCGTTGTGCTACCACAGTATATGTCTTTTCACCTGTCCTTCTCTAAAGGACGTGTATTTGTATGCTCTGTAAACATATCTGTAGCAGGGCTGTACAAGCCTTAAGTGCAGACTGCAGATGAAACATCTGGACCAAGTCTTACTTGACGTGATTAAATCTGGGAGCAGTTAGTCACAAGATTCCCACTTCTTCCCCCATGCTTCCCTTTTTTCAACCACCTGCTCCACTGTCACCACATCAGTCAGAGTCAGATTTTTCAACTTAAAGAGTGACTGAAATTCAGTGTTTTGTTGCCCGAAAAGATTCCTGCCTGTTATTATCTGTTATCTCACCGTGTCGTTGATGTAGAAGGCTCCATCCTGGTTGCCAGCGGTGATGTTGTAAGTTAGCAACGCGTTCCGTCCGCTGTCTGCATCTCGCGCTTGGACCCGGGCCACAGAGGTGTGTATGGTGGCGCCTTCACTCACGTTTGTGTTGTACGGCAGGTCCAGGAGGACTGGGTCGTTGTCGTTGATGTCTCGGACATTGACCCCCACCACCACCTGAAGGAAACACGCCAGGACAAAGACAAAACCTCAAACTCATGCCTGTTCACAGTCACTCATATTTAGATTGTCTGTCTACAAATGATGTCGAGAAGATACTGTGCCACACAACTCCTCCTAGACCCATCACAAAGGTTCACTAAGCAGCTGTTATAACATGAAACATGTTTTTGTGTGTTAATCTGTCCCAAACATTTACTGGAGATTTTAAATTTCACAGCATTTATAGACCAAATGTGCTTTTTCAGATGTAATGTGTGTTTAACTGTTGATCTTACAGCACAGAAGGGAAGCTTGCAAGATCATAATTGTTCAAGAGGATATGGTGAGAGTATGTGGCTGCCAGCAGTGTGTGTGTTTATGTAATAAAGGCCCACCGAGCTGTTGCGAGACGGGGTGCCCAGGTCTCGGGCTGTGACAGTGATGTTATAGAAGGCTGTTGTTTCTCTGTCCAGCTCTACGTCCTTCCTCACCCGCAGCTCGCCCTCCACTGGAGAAACCATGAACTCATCTGACAGAGAGACAGAGACAAAAGGCTCAGAGACCCACAGTGAGGATTTAATAGCAGATCACTCTCTTCTACAGAAGAATCCGGTACTAACTCTGGGGATCTCCACCGGTGATGCTGTACTCCACTTTGCCGTTGAGGCCAGAGTCTACATCACTGGCTCTGAGAGTCCAGACCCGGGGTCCTGGCTGGCCCTCAGTCACCTCGAAGGGTCCCTCAAAGGCTCTGGGAAAAGTGGGTGTCACATCGTTCACATCTAGGACATTTACCAGCACCTAAAGGAAGGAGGGAGGGAGAGGGACTTTCAACATCCGTTTTGAGATAGGTGATTGTGACATGTACACTGTGAATGGCAGAAATAGGATCAAAAGCAACTTTTGGGTCCTTGTGTCTTGATATTCTGATGCAAATCTTCATGTGTAAGGATGGATTTGGGTGTTTTTAATCATCAAGTTTCTGCATTTCATCTTTATTTACAGACCTGGAGAGAGTCGTTCATGCTTTTATCTGCTTGAGACTCTACTACTGCAATGCACTTCATTCTGGTATCAGCAAGCGAAACATTCGAAGAAACCAAAAACCAAGTTGATATCTTCGTATTGTTCGTCGTGGCCAATAGTCCAATGGTCAAAATTATTTACAAATATGTAAAATAGATAAAAACAGCAAATCTTCACATTGGAGGATCAAAATTGAGAATTGATTTTCTTTTGATCGACTACTTAATTTATCAATAATTGTTTCAGCTCTAAAATGTGTAATTTCAGTCATCAGAATAAAAGAGTGGGTCTCATTTGCATAATTACTGTTGTGCTGGATGTCAAGCGAAGAGCAGGCTTTGGACACTGGTCCGTGGCCGTGACGACCAGTGCGTAGTGTCCTTTGCTGATCTCGTAGTCCAGCTCCTTCACGGCTGTAATTCTCCCCTAAATACACACACACACACACACACATACGCATCACACACAGCAGGTTAATGCATGGATGTTTCTGCAGAGGTAACACGACAGCATAACATTCACCATGTCTTACCGTGATGCTGTTTATATGGAAGGTCTGGATCAGGTTTCCTTGAGCGATGGCATATCGCAAGGTGCCGTTCAGACCCTCATCTGGGTCGATCGCCGTTACTGTGGCGATGGTGGCGCCCACTGTGTCTGGTCCCTCGCTCAGCACCGTGACGTACTCCTCCTCAGGAAACTCTGGGGCGTTATCGTTCTCATCCACAATGTGGACATAGATGGTGGTTGAGGTCTGCGTGACAAACGGAGGGAAACTTTTTACAGCTGTGTCAGCTATTTGTGGCTTACTGTACTAAACTCTGCTGACAGTACGGGTTCCTTTTTGTCGTGGGAGATGTGTATTAGACACTAAGACGTGTGATTCATTCATCGTCATGGTTTGGTATTTTGAGAGGCCTCAGGATCGGCGTGCCTTATGTGAGGAGGCTCTGTGTGTCTCGAAGTTAAGATAACATGGAAACCTTGTAGCGGTCTGGACCCAGGGTTACACATTGTTTTGTGTCCTCTCTGATGACGTGCGATAGATACACAGTGCAAGGCTGGGTGAATCTTGTGGCACTTGAGGTTTTTGGTATGTCTCGCATGCAGTGCCAAAAAACTTGTCTGATCAGGTCTGTGCTGTAATAAACATATATTCAAGTGAAGACAACTGGTCCAAGTTATTCTTTTATTCCTCCAAGTGAAGATTGACTCCTGCACTTGTATACACTGTTCACTAGAGAGGATACATACAGGTATTAAGGTCTTCAGTTGTGATTTTGCGTCTGTGACATGTGATCAGGCTTCATTTAACATGGGAGACTGGGATGAGACAGTGGGACCATATTGTGTTACAGACAGAAGAAGAAAATATCTTGTTAGAACAAAAAAGAAATCTTAAGAGTAAGTGACGCGGAGAGAAGCTGCTGCAAGGAAGCCAAAAGTTCTGCTTCCCTGATGTGCAATCTGCTCACTTTAGATGTGAAAAAAAAAGTAAAAGCTAAAATGTAAGTGAAATGGAAGAAAGACAGCAGTGTATCCTAAAAGAAGCCACCTCATCAAACCAAGGAAAGATTCTGATACATAAGTGAAAGGATCACTGTTTGGAAGGAGTGTTGAGTCAGTTCCTGCTCCACCAGTCTGACCTCCTGCTCCCCCTCCCAGTGCTGCTAAAAGATGGAGTGAACTCCTCAGGCTGTGGCGGTTAAAGAGCCCGGAGGAATTTCACAATATTGTGATTTCTGCATGAGCTGTAAGCTATGTGTGTGTGTGTGTGTGTGTTAGAGAGCAAAAGATACCAAATTAGAACTAGACTATCACAGCAACTTTAATAAATGTAAAATATACTATATATATATATATATATATATATACTGTATATATTTATTCACTATCCAAGCCCAACAGTACATTTTTGTAATATGATTTTGGTGATTAATAATGATGATTATCTGCTATACTCATGGGTGTGGGCAGAGAGAGAGAGATAGAGAGAGAGAGAGAGAGAGATAGAGAGAGAGAGAGAGAGAGAGAGAGAGAGACTGACAGCAGGGGGAGGAGTGTGTTGTATCACGTTGCTTTTGCGCTCCACAGTGAACTAGAGTAGACTACAGAGGGGTTAAGTCAACTTGGAGACGAAGGACTGTCAACCAGCCGCCTGTGTTCTGTTGTTTAGTAGAGTGGAGTTTTGCATGCAGAGGAAAAGTTGAACAAAGGCTTCCAGCAGAGTTAGTTGATGATAGCTTGAGTCAAACACTGCTCTGCTACTCTTTTTTTTGCTCAACGTCCAGACAACCATGGAGCGAGGATTACCCTGTCGGACATCACTCTGGGGAAAGAAGTCCCTGTTTTGGTTGTGCTCCGTTTTGTTTTACGTCGCTGGAGGTAAGCACGAGGACAGATCTCTACAGATCTGTTGAACCGGCTCTCTGACTGTCCCCGCTCTGCGTGTGAGGACTTGTTAATTAACAACTCCCTCTGAGTGACAATTGACTGAATTCAATGATGGGGAACGATACTTGTTTTCAGCACGCAACGAAAAGTCAATCGAAACACACGGGGGTAGAAACCATAGCTAAAGTAACATTAATAGGTTTGGACGGATAGAAATACAACGGGCGGTAAAGTCATCAATTGCCTTCCAATAGGAACGCGATGCGTCTGAGAGGCTCGTGGTGCGTTACTCCAAATTTAAAACTTTTAGTCTCTTTGTTATGCTTAATAGAATTTTGAACAAATGCACAAATGTCCCTTTTTTTTAGTGACATTAACATTTCTGGAGCGTGACCACAGCCCACAGCTTTCCAGTCTTCATTTGCTGCTGCTGTTGTTTTGAGGCAGAACATCTGGTGTGAAGCGGCGTTAAAGCCGCACCCATGGGATGTAGCGGGGTGTAAATGCACTTTATAGTGCTGCTCTTATAGCCTTTAAAAAAACAGCCGCAAATTGGACGGTTGCCGTGGACGTTTTTAGACTGACGAGTCTTAAAATGGCCAGAAATGTAAACGACCAGGCATACATCAAATTACACTCGGGGAACTTTCCTAAAGCTGCGTGCGCATGTGCAGGACGATTCTGGTGACTGATACATTCAATAATTCATAAAGAAAAAATCTATTTGCATGTTATCGAGGGAGCTGTAATCAAATGCAGGACTTTTTAGGCAACTGGCGCAGGAGGAGACGGGAGAAGCAGCTGTTGCCTCCGGGGCGCAGGGTGCTTCACTTCAAACGCCCCGGAAACCTTGCAGAGCTTATTAGTTTTGGGCTTTAGGATTTGGTCTGTTTAGATAAGCTCACGCGACAAGTACGTCAATGATGTTTACTGAACTTTTAGGCTGACCCATCCTGGACCAAAATCTTTATTTGTAACTCAAAACATGTTTCGGATTTAAATGTTTGTTGCCAAGTTTTTTTTGCGTTTTGAAATAGTTATGCAGGCCTTTACTCAGAGGCTCCTAAAAGCTTAATAGGCCGGTCTGACTTTAGGACTGCTCCCTTCAGCCCTGTTGTGTCTTTTTTGTTTGGAAGTTTCCTTCCTCTGAGCCGATGATGAAAACAGCCTTTTGTGCCGCTGCCAATAATGTGTTTCTCCTCCACAAAACTCCACTTGAGATAAACAGAGCGGTAATCAGGGGCTCAGTCCTTTCCTCCCAGTCTAGATAAGCATTTAGCTGCTCATGGAGGACAATGGCACAGTCAAAAATGGTCAATAAACTCCACAGGATGTGGGTGCTCCCTCTTTCACTGTCTTGGCTACTTTCTCCTCCTGCTGTGACATGTCTTGTGTCGCTCATTGATCCTCTGTCCTAAATGAATACATCATCATTAGGGTGTAGTGATAAGAAAAAAAGAGCTTCCTGGGTCAATGTCATAGACGAGAACAGGCCCGGCAGTCAGTAAGTGTGTTGATGTGCAGCAGTTGTGCGGGCACATACCGCATGAGTAATTAGATGGAGGAAGGGGAGCTCCCGTGTTCTTCTAAGACTTTCCGTGGTATCACCTTCTTAATTGTCTGACACACATGTGTAGCTGAAACCTTGGTGTCTGATGTTTGATATGCAGCAAGTATGACGAGTAAAGACTCCCCCAAACACCAGTGGCCTTCACTTCTTCTTATAAGGATGAGTCTCCCACTGATTCTCTGAACAGCATTGACCTTCGCTGATAGAGCCTTGACTCTGCTTCTCGTCACTGCAGCAATAAACAGCAACCAATGTGTAAAGATCTGAACTATTAATAGAAACAGCTTAACAATATCAAGTATGAAAAGCATGAAATTACCCTAGAAGAGGGAGGATGCAGGCAAACTAGTTGATAATAATGAACTCGCTTTGTTTAAATTAAGTAATTATTTAAAATTTAAATTTCAGCTGCATTGTTGCTGTGGCTAAATGAAAAAACGATGTTGCAGTCGTGTTTATGAAGCTGTCCTTACACCAGCATTTAGTTACGTGGCTAAATGCATGAAGTACATTTAGAGGAAGAGGAAGGTCGAGATTGGGACAGAGTGTGCCGTTTACTTGAAAAACACTTATACAAACAAGTTTATGGCCGATTGGCTCACAAGGTAAAGTACACAGCGAATGACTGTAATCAAATGTCATGGATCCCTGAGCATGGTGACCTTCTTCACTGACCCTGAACCACATCCCTTTTGGACTAGGTAGGGTCTGAACTGCCACATTTTAACACTTCCTGTTGCTGAAAAGATGCTTCATGCATGCCAGAAGCTTCAACTGAAACTCTCGCACTTTCTTAGTTTGTGTGTGTGTGTGTGTGTGAGTGTGTGTGTGTGTGTGTGTGTGAGTGTGTGTGTGTGTGGAGGAACTAATCTGGGATCCTCCTGCTGGTTTCATTAACACCCTTTAATGGGCTGGATAATCATTACCATTACAGTAGGTGTGAAAGAGGGTGGAGTCTGAAGTGTGTGTGTGTGTGTGTGTCTGTGTGTGTGTGTGTGGTGTAGCAGCACTTGTACAAACACAGGTAGAGAACTCGCAAGTGAAAGGAAACCAGATTTTCCAGTAGGGTATGTTCAATATTTGAACCGCTTCAATACAAAAGAAGAAGCATTAGATATACTCTTGCAGAAAAGTGGTTGAACTGGTTGAATTTATGGTAATTTAAGGAGATATGAAGGCATGTTTAATTAATTCACACAGGCGCGGCTGCATGTCCGAATGTAAGAAAGCTGTCAGAGGCAACATGTCCTAAACAGGTGGCATTCAGGCTTAAAACAAAGGAGGGCCTGTTTCTGGGCCCTGAGGGGCTATCAGGATCCTGAGAACAGAGATCACAGAAGGAAACTTAGATCCATAATGGAGCCAAAACACAGATGTCTGGTGTAAAGTGAAAGAAGTCCCGTCTGTTCCAGACACGGGGCAGAGCTTGCTGTCAGTTTTTACCTGGTTGCAGCCACATCAAGGCGGCTCAGATAGTGCCGACACTGTGGTAACCCCACCCAATTGATACAGAATATGCCAGAAATCCATCTCCCACTAGTGTAAATAAGGCGAGAGAAACCAGGGAAGAGTTCAGGGAGGAAGGCAGGGCGGGTGTGAAACAGGAGAGGAGAAGGGCTTCCCCTCCTATTGTCCCACCTCGCAGGCCGGAACAGCCGTGGGGGGCAACAGTTTCACTTTAATCACCCTCCCTGGTCTTCCTATTGCTACCGAGTTCAGTCACACACAGGAACGTGGCACGTACCCTGCACTCTGTGACACACACACACACAGGATGCACACATGCTGAATATACAAACATGCGCAGGTAATCAAATGGCAGCTACTGTATTTCCCATCCAGCAGAGTGTAAACCAACTACTTAAATGCCGATATTGACGTGAACACTAAAACAAATTATTTGCTTCCTCATTTGATGCAAAACTCTCGCATGTTGCATCTGCTGCCTTCCGAGGAAAATAGTGGTAGTGGAAGAAACATAATAAGTTCATTGTTGAATACCAGTGACTCAAACAAAACTGCTGCTCCGCTGCTCTCTACGGGTTTAAACTCTCAGTCCAAGCTGTGATGTAACAGCATGTGTGTTGACTCTGACAGCAGATGGAATACACCTGCAGTGACATCATAACTGATTGGGGTATGGGTGGAGGTGCAACCTGTTTGAAATGATCGGCCCATAAAGAGCCATACAGCAGCAGCTGTGGCCCTTCACATTTAGCTTTAAGGAGTGAGGGGCTAGAGAGGAGGAGGAGGAGTTTCGCGTGTTTGCATGGCAAGACGACTCAGGAAGGAAGTCCTCTTCTCAAACCCTGGCGCCCACCAGTCATCCTCCAAACACACAGATTTTACTGCAAATTCTCCGATCCATGGCGCAACTATAATATACACACCCAAACATAATACACTCACTAACACGTGGCCTTCCTGTCTTCTTCACAGCGCTAAGCATTCTTGGATGCTAAACTACAAACTGTTACAGACAACGGATGGGAGTAATCTATTTAGGCAGACAAAGCCAGAGTCGTCCTGTTGTTCTACATGCTGGATATGTGGAAAGCCATTCATTATGCGTGTTGACGCTGCACTGTGGGTAGTTTATGATGCGTCTGCCTTGTTTTTTGTTTGGTTGTAGGAATTAGAGAGTGGCTTCAGAACGCTTAGCCTGAGAATATCTCTGTTTTGTTGTGTTATGGCAATGAGATAATCATTCAGTCCACACATTAACGACTCCATGTATTGGTGTATTCCACCGATGTACCAGTGAGAACAGGATGTGGTTTACTGTGCGAGTATGTAATATGTAAAGATACATCCCACAGCTGTCTTTTTCGGTTTTTAGAATGGCCATTTCACTGCAATCACTGGGTAATGATACCACATCGCAATAGTCAGAGTATGTTGCAGAAATTGATCAGAGCAAAACAACGGTCTGATTTCTACACTTTCCCTAATTTGATGTCACATGAGATGCTGTGTACGTTGTACATTGCATCGCTCTCCGAGAGGAACAGGCAATTTAACTCCCACAGGAGGTTAGGATAATTTTACTTTAACCAGCACTGTCTTCAACCACAGTACGACTATATGCAGAACAGGAAACAAACTGTGCTGACCCCAAAACGCACAAAAACCAAGAACGCATATAGTGTGCAGAAATAGGCCATGGGAAATCGTTTGACTTTAGCTTTAAATCCATGTTGAGACTGGTAGTTGCTATGATTTGGTTTTACACTCTGGTTATTTACAAAACATATCCAAGCACCTAAGGAACATCATGACGTACATGCATCAGCATTAATGTATCTATATTTCTATTAAAATATTCTTGTTCTGGTTATATGTAATGTTTCATGCAGCTTCTGAATATGAATCTATTGGATTTTGTACCCTCTGAAAAACTAGATGCCACTGCCATCAAAGTAAACATGTGACTTGTTTTATTTTTACTAAGTACACTCGCCTCTTTCCTCTGGCTTTTCTTCGTCATCTTCAGGGATTTGTGTTCCCTGGGTTGAGCTTCTCAAACACTTCCTGTCATTTCTACTGCATACAAATCCCACCTCCTCTGCTAGGATTGGCAGGCTTTCACACAAAACTTCATCATCTCTAACCTGAAGCCTTTGGTTGGTAAAAGTTGATAACCATTATATTTGTTACCTACTTTCTACCATACTTGTCTATTCTCTCTAGGAAAAGGTGACATGTCCCACGCCCACTCCACTCTGAGTGTTTCGGCCCCCCACCTGCACTACACCTGTCCCGAGGGTGCAACCGTCAAACTGGTGTGTGACCAGAGAGGGGCCGCCTTGCACCCCACCGATGTCTTGAGGCGCGGCTGGCTTTTCACGCCCCACAGTGATCGGCACTGCACGGGACGGACGGGCCCGCGCCATACTACCATTGGTCATTCACATGGCAACCACAGCTTAACGCCAGGGTTGCAATTTGGAGCTACAGAGCACAACTTCTGGGTGGTTCTGCAGAACGTGATCCACTCTGACCAGGGTCGCTACTGCTGCATGCTCCTAGACTTCCAGCTGGAACAGAAACACAACGCCCTCGTGCAGAAACCCCACAGCCACGTTATTCTCCATGTTACACCACGTAAGGACATCAAATGTGTGGGTGTGAATGTGTATTGGGTTGTGTATCTCTTCCTGGGGCCCTGATCGTATGTTGCAATTAACAGGCAGAAACCCAAACCAATGTTACATTGTGATATACTGCTTGTGAGAAACAGTGTCTTTGTTCTCTTGCCAGGGAGGAATGGCTCTCAAGACTGCACTGTCTGGGATCCAACACCAGCTGGAGGTACGTCACCTTATTCAAGCCTTCAAAGCCAATGTATGACTAGCCAGTTACTCCGTGTATTTACCTCACAGTCTCTCTGTTGCTTCCCCAGGCTCCGTGCCAGTGGCCCTGGCCATAGCAGCCTGCATCTTGGCCCTGCTTTCTCTGCCTCTGATTCTGATGCTTGTGTACAAACAGAGGCAGACCGCCCGGTCGAGCAGACGTACGTAATACTGAAACGCACAAACAAGCAAGCTCGCACTCCTTCATTTCCACGTCCATGCTACATAATCGTCTCACAGTGGGTTCCCCGTAGTGTTTTGTGTGACACATATTTCCTGTCTATGAGGAGGATTAACTGTATTTCACACAGTAGGAAGCGCATTCACACTGTAGTGCGTAGATCTGTAGTGTTCCGCTCTGTTTCAGTATACTCACAATGGCCCATTTCCCGCTTCCTCTCTCTCCCAGGTGCACAAGAGCTGGTGAGGATGGACAGGTACGTTTTCCCACAGTCTGTCAGGCAGCTGGCTTCATGGGCCGGCTTCAAAACACAGCTGCTCTTTAGAATAATAACACTGTACACATGGATATTCCACTAGGAAGTGGCCACAACATTTCTTACACAATAGATAGTTTCAGCCACAAAACCTGACGAGACCAAAGCGTGTTACAATTCTGCGGATAATTCCTTTAAACTTTTGTTCACTAAAGATCTACAAATAGCTTCAAAACATCAATGAATCATTTGGGTGCATCGTCTTAATTACTGTACAACAAAAAGGACTTCAGCCAAGAGCATTGGCAGTCTTAACACTGTACGTTATGTTGTGTGCCACTGGAATGTATTTTGTGGGAAATGTAATTACTTTACAGCACAAAGCGAAACCGATTTATGGCTCACAACAGGGAGACTTAATTAATTCACGTGTATGTACACAACTTACTGCAAGTTGTGTACATACAGTACATAGTGTTATAAGTGCAGTTAAGTATTGAAGCCCTGATTACTGCTAGAATATAAATGCGACACATACAAAGATTGTAAACGTCTTGAGCAACAGGTGAATGTTGAAACAGTTTATTGGGTCATTTCGGCAATGTCTTACTCATCGGTATGCTTCCCTTTCTTGTGTGTGCGTGCGTGTTTTCAGTGAGGCTCAATGCCACGAGAACCCTGTGTTTCTTGGGGGATCGCCGCAGATTAAGACCCGTACCGTGTCTCAGATCATGACCAGGCAATCATCGGAGACAGGACGCCACCTGTTGTCTGAGCCAGGAACCCCCCTTTCTCCTCCTGCACACGGGGACGTATTCTTTCCAATAGAAGGTAGGACACACACACACACACACACACACACTAAATCACTCAGCACAGGATGGGACACACAATTATCAAACCCATTCTCCATTTTGTTCAGCTTTTGCCCTTTAGCGTGGCTAAAACTCTCCTGACCAGCGCCATAACACAAAGAAAGCAGAGTATGAGCAATCTCAGGGGAGTTCATTAACACGACTTAGTGAGTGTGCTCATTGGTAGGTCATGCCTTACCAACTACATTCTGAATGCATACACATGACTTCCTTGACATTCTCGTTTGTTACCCGAAACAAAGCACTCGAGCAGTGGCACGAAACTGTATTGCACAAGGACATAGCTCTGGAAATACCGATTTCAAAATGTACAGGCAGTATGGTAAAACACTCTGATGAAATCAAAGAACAACTGTGGCTGTGTGCACGTTTCTGCTGAAACATCCTGTGTGCGGTCATGTGTTGGCGGAAAGATGCTGACATTCTTGTGCAAAATTGCACGCTCAGTCTCAGAACAGCTGGGTTGAGTCTTATGTGATTGAAAGATATTCTGTGTGGTGAGTTTACATTCTCTCCCAAACACGAGTAAAACCACCTCCTTATGCTGTCACCCTCTGAATTCTTCTCTCGCCTCCCTCGCAAAGTCATTTTCCACCCATCAGCACTCTCATTGAACACTAATGGCCCCCCTTCAGCCGTTCTCTCCGACTCGACTTGAAATAATACTGAAACATTAGTTACGGTGAAGGGGTTCAATCCTGAGTGTTTTTCTACCGATTCCCGGGGCACCTGTGCAGACATTCCAGGCATGCTGAGGTGGATTGCCCCGTTTCCTGCCAGCACGGGCCTGTGGCGGTACGGGGGGAATGGTCAGAACTGAACCGACCTACTGAAAAACCCAAACCATCACATATGTTGTTCCGATGACCTATAACCACACTACAACAGTTTAGTGTGCAAACAAGGAAAAGTCTCAGAAACAGTTACTGGAGCTCATTGACATTATACCGCATGTAAGACCTGACGAGCATAAACAGAAGGTACAACTGAGCCACCCACACTCAGCGAGTCCTATGAGATGCTGCTGTTTTGCCCAAATTGAATTCTGGTAATGAGTAATGCCACTAGTGGGAAAACCTCTGTTAATGATAATTGACAGATGGAAGATGCATCTCAGATTACAGCCATGTTCCTCCTCTAGAGAGCACGCCACGAAATATTGATAAAACCATCTAGAACCCAAGAAAACCCCCCCGATATTTTGTACACCTGTCACAGTGGATTTTCCTGTCAGAGCTCATTTCCTACAGTAGTCTACGAACGTTATACCGAATACCAAGCCCGGTTTCTTGTCTGAGGTTTCGTGTTACATGGATGAAAGCCACACTTCAGCTTCCTTGTTCATCTTTTTCGGGCCGCTGACCTTTCGCTGAGAGGAATTTATCTAGAAGCAGTTCCCTCTTATCGTCAACATGTTGCAACTCGGGCTTTAAGGACTTTTTGTTCTGCTTTTCAATGGGTTTCCAGCAAAACACATATTATTCTGAGAAATCTACCAGTCTCTCTGTGCGCTCGTTCTAATCTATGGAGTGGGAGGTATGGAAAAAGAAACGCAGTCACGTCTTCCGTCTGCCTTTTTGGGCAGGAAGTGACATTTTTTAAACTCTTTCATATCTAAATTTCAGTGCCAGCACACAGACATGAAATGTGCAGTTGTGCGGGTTGATACATGTAGATTACCTGCCATCTTTTCTGTGCTCTCACTGACCTGCACTGTTCTCTATTCCAGACACCATCCTGGAGTCTCCAGACTTCATGCAGGTTTAAAGGGGGTTGGAACCTCGTTCGTTGCTCTAACTGCTGACCTGGAAATAGTCCTGCAACTCCTTTCCTCTTCTTTCTGCCTCCAGAGTGATGTTGCCCTTATCAGCTGTCTCACAATAACCTGTGCTGGATTGTCGTCTGTACATTGTCTGGACCGCAGGAGGGAACGGGCTGCCTTTTTTTATTCAAAGACTTTTTCCACCTGTAACAACAGCTGGAGGCCAAAAGCGGACTTTAGCTTGTGTGTACTTGTGTTGTGGCGGGGTTAGTGTGTGGTGTTCCATCTACACGCTGACAATGACTCGTGGACCAACAGGTGCCCGCTGCTTGAGACAAATCCAAAGTGTTGGGGGGGGGGGGGGGG